GAAACAGCCTTGTTCCTGACGCTCCATTTACTCTCAACAGAACCTCCATCTCTGAATGCAACAGTTATATATACCTAGGTCGAAAAATCAACATGATGAATGACCTGGCACCTGAGTTGCATAGGAGGAAGAGAGTGGCTTGGAATGCCTTCAAGAGCGTTGACGAACTAACTAAGAGGACAAAGAACCTCCAGCACATCTGGAGCACATCTCTTCGATTCCACTGTTCTTCCTGCATTAACATATGCCTCACAGACCTGGGCCCTATGAAAACAGGATGAGAATGCTATTCGGGTCTCTCAAAGAGAAATCAAAAGAGCTATGCTTGGAATATCACGATTCACTCAAATGAGAGATAGAATCTGGAGTTCTGATCTCCGTCAACGCTCAAGAATCAGTGACGCTGTCTCATTTGCCAAGGCATCAAAAATCAGATGGGCTGGACATGTAATGAGGTTTACAGACAACTGCTGGACTAGAGCCATTACTGACTGGATTCCACGGGATGTCAAAAGATCGCGTGGACGCCCACCTACAAGATGGTCAGACTTCTTCGTCAAGACCCTAAATGATCGGTTTGAGGCTCTGCATGTTCCTAGAACGAACAGATGCCATTGGGCTATGCTAGCACGCACAGGGATGAATGGAGACGTTACTGACATTCGCTCGAGTAAATCGATGAATAACGGGGGATCAAGTGATCAAGTGATGAAAGAAAAATATATAAAACATTTTATAAAATGTTTTTAAAAATGTTTATAAAAAATCTTAGCCACTGCTAATTTTGAATCATTTTTGAGAAAGGAAACAATAGAGTGAAAGAATATAATATACAGCTGAAGTGAAGTATTTACATTATACCAGGAGTCCCTAGGTTCAACTTCTGGCACCACAAAAATTTTTTTAAAGTGAGAAACAGTTTTAGGCAATTTTGTTTTACAAAAATATGCATTAAAATATTAAAATGAAATATTTAAAAATACTAATGATTAGTTATTGGTGAATTATATGGGTAAATCATGTTTTCTTTATGTTATTCTCTTATATCCAAGTCTTTGATAGTGAGCATATATTATTTTTATGACTGTGACAAAGTACTATTAAATTATAAAATGTCAATATTACTTTTTTGCCTTAGTTCATAAATTATTAAGATGACAACCAAAAAAATGCTCTTAGGTTGAGTCATTTCTTTTGTAACTTAAAGAAGTCTGTATGAATTCATCTTAAGAAAGAATTATTACCTACATCATGGCAATAGCCCACAGAAAAAAATAGAAGTTCTGCTACATTTAGAATCCTTTCACAACTATTGTAACATCATACCACTCTCAGGAGAGAGAACACTCACCTGAGATGAAATCTTGTGCTTTGCTGTGACTTGGATGGGAGTGTGGGGCCTCATGTTCAGTGGAATAAGTCAGAGGGAGACACAGATCTGAGGTGACAAGAGAGACAAAAGAGAAGAGGCAGTGTCCAATGATGACAAACCCTTGCTTGGTTTCCATAAGTCAGGTTTCAAAGCAGTGAAAAGTGTGAGGGAAGAGAAGAGGCAGACTAAAGGCGACTTAAGAAAATAGTGGAGCATGTGGGGTACTCTGTGATGGTTGGGTACTGTAGCATTGACCATCAAGGCAATAAAAAATAGCACAATTGGAACAAAAAATTATCCAACTATAATAATAATAATGACAAAATTATTATGAACCCAGGAGTACATATTTGTTAAGTGACTATACTAATGAAATGAAAAGGCAATAGTTTTTTACTCAAGGCAGAAGATGGTGAGGTTAATTTATGAAGGACCACCTCTAGGCCAAATCTGCAAAATGAGATATAGAAAGATATATAGAAAGAAAGTACTTTGGATTTCATAGCAGATTTCAAACCATCCCTTTATTCTTACCCTATCCCTCCCTTGGCTCTTCTCCTTTCTGCATTCCAAAGACAATATCTTGTTATTAAAAAGTTGTTTCGACAAACAAATCTCCCCTTTCAAATAGACAGAGTTGGGCTGGAGAGATAGTGTAATGGGTGGGGTCTTTGCTTGTCTTGCAACAGCTGGCCCAGATTGATTCCTGGCACCACATATGGACCCCTGAGGCTTTCTAGGAGTGATCCCTGAATGCATAGCCAGGAGTAAGCCCTGAGCCCTGCAGAGTGTGCATGTACACAGACACCCCATCGAACTCTGCCCCCCCACCACAAAAAGCAAATATATACAAAAAAGGTGATTTTTTTTTTTTAGTATGTCTTTCACATCAGAGAGTAGCAACCCTGTTCTGATGACACAAGACTATTGGTCAACTCCACAAATAAGCCCCTCCAGGAAAATCAATTACATTGGAAGATCACCAGCTCTGCCCATCAGGAGTTCCCGTGATGTTTAAAAGCAGGCTACCAGTTCTCTAGAAATAGCCTAGATCTACAAGAAGACCCAGCCGTTTTCTGTCACTACCTTGTGTGTTGGCAGAAAGGGCCACCTCTATCTCAAATCTTCAAAATCAGCATCTGGCATGCACAGACTCTGGTGCCTTCAATTCAGACGATGAATGCCTGAAATAGATTATACGGAATAGATGATGTAAATTCCATATGCAAGGGATGCATATCTGAAGATAGTGTAGGACAGAAACATCAGACATTAAAACACCTGAAAAATAGTTTTCTTAGAATAAATCTAAAGTAAAACTGATGCAAATATAAGGCCACGAGGTAGTATAGGATATAAAGTACTTGCCTTGCCTGTGGTCAACCCTAGTTTGATCTCTGGCACTCTGAACTCTTGCCCAAGCACTGCTAGGAGTCACTCATGAGTACAGAGCCAGGAATAGCCCTGGGACACTGAGGGTGCTCCCCTGCCCCCCAACTCCCATAAAGTCTGTGCAATTTTTAAAGATGTCATAGCTCTCATGGACATAGCTCTCACTTTGAGTATGGTGGCAACTGATGTAAAAATAACAAATACAAAAATATGAATAATTCATCAATTGTTATAAAACATGAATGAAATGCAAGGAAATCAACAGAGCTAATGGGTCTGTCTTGTGCCGTAAGAGCTCCTACAAGTTTCCAGTTCTGTCTAAACAAAGGGAGAGAGTGAAGGGTCAAGAAAGGCAGGGAACAAAGGAGAATAGAAAGATCCTCAAACTCCTCAAAGTTTTTTCCACCCCTATACCCTAATCATGCCTAAGTCACAAGCTTCCCCAAGCCCAGGAATACATACTTGTTGAGTGACTATACTAATGAAATGAAAATGCAACCGTTTTTAACTCCAGGCAGAAGCTGTAGCACTGCAGCACTGTCCTCCAGTTGTTCATTGATTCGCTCGAGTGGGCACCAGGAACGTCTCCATTGTGAGACTTGTTATTGTGTTTGGCATATCGAATACGTCATGGGTATCTTGCCATGTATAAATAAGTTCCTGTTCAATTTTTTTAACTTCCCTTTATGAGATTTTGCTATCCCAAGTTCAGAATTACTAAATATTGTAGCAAAATCTGCAGACAGGTCAACATGCTGATATCAGTCTTATTAGGAAACAGGAAAAAGTAAATATTGCATCTACACTACTTACAGAGGGCTATAACCAGCCATCAGGAAAGAAGTGAGGAAAAAGTTCTTAGATGTTCCAGTCCTACTGGAAGAAACTTAGAGAACTTATTGATAAATATTTTTCATTAGTGTAAGAATCATGTATATGAAGTAGAGTGTAGACAAAATTGAAAGTAGACAAAATTCTTCTTTAGATGACTCCAGTTTTAGGCATGCTCTATGGCTTGTGAATATATTCTTAGATGTTTGATAGCTAGAAACAGAGAATCTATCATTATTTACTTACCAAAACTAGAATCGAGATTTTGAAACTGTATTTTTGTTAAGGAAAAGTTTATTTACTACAATGTTAACTATACATGAGTTAGTTCACTTAAACAAAATTGAATCCTCAAGTTATTTTACAACTTGCCCAAAGATGGTGATCTCAGTAACCTTGCTTTAATTCCTCTCACTGTAATATGTCACTGTCACTGTCCTCCCGTTGTTCATCGATTTGCTCGAGGGGCCCAGTAACACTGTGAGACTTGTTAATGTGTTTGGCATATCAAATATACCACGGGTAGCTTGCCAGTGCCTCTTTAAGAAAAACACTTAGAATTTTCCCCAGTTAGCCATGATGTTAAAATTATTTTTCACCGCTTATTTATCTAGGGTTTGGGCTACACCCAGTGGTGCTCAGGGACTACTATCATTTCTGTGCTCTTGGGATTGCTCCTGGCGGTGATTGGAGGACAATTCATGCGATGTGCCATGAATCAAACCTGGGCATCCTACATTCAAAGCATGTGCTTAATACAGTGACTGATCTTTCCAGCACTTGGTTTTTAATATTAATATCAAATTGTCACTGTCCTCCTGTTGTTCATCAATTTGCTCGAGCGGGCCCAGTAATGTCTCCATTGGAAACTTTGTTGTTACTGTGTTTGGCATATCGAATACATCACGGGTAGCTTGCCAGGCTCTGCTGCGCGGGCGAGATACTCTCGGTAGCTTGCTGGGCTCTCCGAGAGGGGCGGAGGAATTGAACTCGGGTGGGCCATGTTGGCTGTGTGCAAGGCAAATGCCCTACCGCTGTGCTATCGCTCCAGCCCAATATCAAATTAATAAGTATAAAATTATTTTTGTGGGAACCTCCCCCAAAGGGCTTAGGATTGTAGGAGTTACTCCTAGTGATGCTCAACTGTCTATATCTGGTCTAATAATTAGACGCTCAATACTGCAACTTTGTGCTATGAAACTTGGTGGTGCTGGGCCAGTGGGTGCCATGGACCAAACTCAGAGTCTGGTGCATGCTATGCATATGCTCTAATTCCTTGCTCTATCCCCCCACCCTCCACAATAATTTTAAATGAACTATATTGAAAAATTCTTCTCACATATGTAAAATTGCTTGTATCTATCAGCTTTAATTTTGTGCTCTGCTTTCCAATTCAACTTTATAGGTGGAATGTCATCCATATTTCACTCAGTCCAAACTCCTGAAGTTTTGTCAACAGCATGATATTGTCATTGTTGCATATAGTCCTTTGGGAACTTGTAGGGATCCACGATGGTGAGTAATATTGTATGTCTTTACAGGAAGAATTTCCTTTGATGTAGACTAAGTATGATGAATATGTGAATAAATGGAGTAAAATGAGTCTACTTGGCCATGTGATCTTAAGAACATAATGTCAAGTCATTCGTTATATTTATAAATTGTAACAAACACTGAGTTGCTGTAAGAATTATGCAATTAAAGAAGAATGCTCAATGATGTGTATGAAATGTTTTAAGGGTGCCTGAAACACAGGAAATGCTCAATAAATGTTAGCTTAGTTATTATTTACAGAATCTAGGATTATGTTCTAAATTTCTATTTAGAATTTTCTATTCTTAAGTTCTCATCTTTGTAGCTAATGTGACACTTCAATTGTGCTATGCCTGCAAATTTCCTTAGAAATTTTTTTACTCAATTGTTTCCAAGAGTAGTGCTTTCTATCTTCCACCCAAATCTAATCTTGGCTGCTATGCCTCCTTTTTACCTAGTTCTCTAGAAGACACATCAAAGAAACATGCATCCTCTGGAAGAGTCAATTCTAAAAATGTTTATCTCTTGATTTTCCTGTAGAGCAATTACTCATTCTCTCTTAAGAGAAACTGTTTCTGGTGGTGGTGGTGGTGGGGGGGGGGGGGGTTAACTGACCAGGTAGGTTATTGGGTGACTCAGAAAAAGGTGATTAATTAACGTTGGTTAATCTTTGCTCAAGCTAACTATGATGAATGCTTTGCTTTTTTGAAGGGTGAATGTTTCTTCTCCACCTCTGTTAGAGGATGCACTTCTAGTCTCCTTGGGGAAAAAGTACAATAAGACAGTAGCCCAGATCATTCTGCGTTTTAACATTCAGCGAGGAGTGGTTGTCATTCCTAAAAGTTTTAACCCTGAAAGGATAAAAGAAAACTTCCAGGTAATGTACAAAGGTAATGTGCCTCTGCAAATGTTTAAAAGAAAAGTACACTTTTTATTTTTAATTTTTGAATTATATTAAGAAACTACAGACCCAATCTTATTTTCATACCAGCTCCTGAACCTACCCTGTAAATATCTGACTATAATTTTAGCTGAATTTGAGGCAGTACTTACTACCTTGTGGATTGCATTGTTGTTTATACATTTAAAGTTTCCTTATTTCATGTTTCTTAATCTAATAGCTCTTGACATTATCTATTTACTTCTCCACCTGCTCAGCAGGAATAGAATATGTAAAAATTGAAATTAGTAATAGACTGATTTTTATCTTTTTAATGACATATATATATATATATATATATATATATATATATGCTGGAGTGATAGCACAGCAGTAGGGCATTTGCCTTGCATGCAGCCAACACGGTCGACCTGAGTTCGATTCCTCCGCCCCTCTCGGAGAGCCCGGCAAGCTACCCGTGATGTATTCAATATGCCAAACATAGTAACAACAAAGTCTCCAATGGAGACGTTACTGGGCACGCTCGAGCAAATTGATGAACAACGGGAGGACAGTGACAGTGATATATATATATATCCAGTAGGCAGGGGTCACACCCACCAACTGACCCCCTCCCCCCCATTCCCGGCGCCATGTAATCCCATCAACGGCCAAGACCCAGAGACTATAAAACCCAGCTCCCAGAAGCACAACACCTTATTATCTCATTCCTGCTTTTGACAACCTGGCAGGCTACCAAGTGCAGCCTGCCTGCAAGGCAGAGTCTGGCAAACTCCCCGTGGCGTACCCAATATGCCAAACACCAGTAACAATGATGGGTCTCATTCTCCTAAACCTGAAAGAGCTTTGAATCTGGTACTTTTTAGAATCTCAGGGCTAGGACGAAGGAGACGTTACTGGTGCCTGCTCGAGGCAATAGACGAACAACAGAATGATCATGATCGTGATCGTGAATGACTCAGGTAGAATTTGAATTAAATTTAGAAATCATTGGAGAGGATCACATGCTGTGGTTTGCAACCACTGTTCCATAGGTTTAAAAAGATTGCAAGCCACTAATTTAGATTTCAGGAATACTAATTGACTGCATTCCATGTATCAGTAATATGTGGGCCAGTATTATAACTTATAGGTGAAAAAAAAATCTGTCAAAGAAGTAATTAGTTTACTCTGCTTTCACTAAAGACTAAAAGCTAGGTAAATACAGCCATGGAAAATTAGCATGCTGTGCTGGGGGTATGCCTCGGTGGTCTTATATACGATGTTTATCTTGTGTGTAAGACTCTGGATTTGATTCCCTGCAAAACACACACACACACACACACACACACACACACACACACACACACTGTGTAAAACTAATCAGTTATTCATAGCACTGTAGCACTGTCCTCCCTTTGTTCATCGATTTGCTTGAGCGGGCCCAGTAACATCTCCATTGTGAGACTTGCTGTTACTGTGTTTGGCATATTGAATACGTCACGGGGAGTTTGCCAGGCTTTGCTGTGTGGGCGAGATACTCTCGGTAGCTTGCCGGGCTCTCCAGGAGGAGTAGGGGAATCGAACTCAGGTCAGTCGGGTCAGTCTCGTGCAAGGCAAACGCCCTACCCACTGTACTATCAAAAGAAAGAAAGAAAGAAATGAAAAGGAGCGATAGCACAGTGGTAGAGCATTCACCTTGCACGCTACCAACATGGCCAACCCGAGTTCGATTCCTCTGCCCCTCTTGGAGAGCCCGGAAAGCTACTGAGAGTATCTCGCCCGCGCGGCAGAGCCTGGCAAGCTCCCCGTGACGTATTTGATATGCCAAACACAGTAACAACAAAGTCTCCAATGGAGACGTTACTGGGCCCGCTCGAGCAAATAGATGATCAATGGTAGGGCCCCAAAAAGAAAAAAAAGAAAAAAGAAATGAAATGGAGCTCCTCAAGTGGGGAGGAACTTAGGATAGGATGAAGTTAAAAGTTAGGGTTTTGTGGAGGCCTTCCTAAAGGCCCTTTGCGTTCTTATAAAATAACAATTTAAATTAAAAAATTTTTATTATCTTTATATTGAATCATAATTAAATATAAAGTTGATAAATAGACAGGGGCAAGATGGCAGTGAGGGAGTCATCATTTGAGGTTATACCCAGGCCCCAAAATTAAAACACAGCAATGAAACAGAAATGATCATAGGATCCCACTAGCTGTCCCACAGAGGAGGTACATAAGAATATCCAGCAGGAACTCTGGGAAACTCTACCATGTGAACAGATAAGATTTGAAGCGCCAGCTCCATGGAGCAATGCTGCAGGGGTGGGGGTGGGGGCACATGAAGAGAGGTGCAAAGAGCAGAGCAGAGCTAAGTGGAGACAGAATGTTGTCAGAAAAGGAAGCCGTGGGAGGAAACGATGCACCCATCTTCTAAACCTTGTTTCTCACCAAATTTAATGCGGAGCCAAGAAGTAGGCCAAGTAAGATATCCAGGGCAGGTGGTCACAGCAGGAGCCTGTCTATGGTCAGTCCAAGCTGAGGGCAGAGCACAGTAGACAAACACTGCCTGCCTCCTCCCAGGTGAAATCAGAAGCTGTCTCCACTGCCTGGCCCCAGTGCATCTGACGGAGGACAGGCTTTTACCAAGTCAAAAAGGAGGCTTTCTCCAAAAGACTAAGGAAAACTGGTTCTATTGTTCAACCCACATTTTTTCCCAGTTTTTTAATTTCTCTTATTTTATTTTTTAATTTTTATTAGTGAGATACCATGGGCTGGAGCGATAGCACAGCGGTAGGGCGTTTGCCTTACACACAGCCAACATGGCCAACCCGAGTTCGATTCCTCCGCCCCTCTCGGAGAGCCCTGAAAGCTACCAAGAGTATCTCGCCCGCACGGCAGAGCCTGGCAAGCTCCCCGTGATGTATTCGATATGCCAAACATAGTAACAAGTGTCACAATGGAGACGTTACTGGGCCCGCTTGAGCAAATCCATGAACAATGGGAGGGCCATGACCGTGACCGTGACATTAGTGAGACACCATGAGGTACAGTTGTAGACTTACAAATTTTTGTGCTTGGGTTTCAATTATACAGTGATCAAATACCCACCCCTCCACCAGTGCTCATTTCCCACCACCACGGATCCCAGTATCCCTCCCATTCCCTATCCCCCCCAACCCACCCTACCTCTGTGGCAGGGCATTCCCTTTTGTTCTCTCTCTCTCTCTATTATTAAGTGTTGTGGTTTGCAAAAGAGGCAATGTCAACCCACATTTTTGAACTTTGATGTGACAAGGTTTGGTGAGACACCAGCAACCATGAACACTGGGAGGCAGCACTGGTCTGTACTGAAATTCCAGCAGTGGTTGGAAGTAACACAAACTCAGTCTCATGCTCTGTGTGGAATCAGCAGACACGCACTGTACATTGTCACTTTTGCACAAAAACAACCCTCCACCAGACACAATGCGAAAGTGGAGGAAGTCACCTACATTAATGGATAGACAAAAGCCTGTGAAATCCCAAAGCATACACTTTAAGAACTCTTTAAGTTCTTTGGTGAAGACTCCAGAGTGACAACACTGTCTGAATTTTGGATCTCAATGAAAGAAACCTCTAAAAATGTGCTGAATTTTGGAACTCAATGAAAGAGACCTCCAACAAGGAAAGTGAAAATATGAGAGAGCATGAGAAAAGTGTTAATCTGAAGTCAAGTGAAGCCACTTAATTGAAGAGCATGAAAAGTAACCAAAACACACACACACACACACACACACACACACACACACACACACACAATGGGCTCAGCAACAGATGACTGAAGTTGAGGAATGAATCAGTGATGTTGAGGATAAGATATTATCAATAAAGAACTGAAGAGGAGGAAAAAAAGAAATAAGAAAATATCAGAAACCTATGGGCTAGCTTCACAAGATTGTAGAAGTTCTAGAAGGAGAGAAAATAAGGAACAGGAAGTACTGGTCAAAGAATTATAGACCGGAACTTTCTCAATGTGAAGACTGACTCATACCACTAGAATAAGAAGCTCAAACAAACCAATAATAAAACAGAGTTTCAAATAAAATGAATAAAAATAGAACTTTTCAATTTGATGAGCAAACTTTGCAATTTAAATGACAAAAGCCAAAGAGAGACAGAGAATCCTAAAAGATCAAAAAAGAGCTCAAGTAAACCAATGAACAATGGGAGGACAGTGACAGTGACAGTGACATATCAGGGAATGACATAAGACTCACAGCAGATAATCAAATGAAACTTAAACAGGTCATAAGCAGGTGCTATGACATAATCATCATGTTGAATAAAATAAACATCCAAATCATATTATTCTATCCTACTAGCTTATTTTTTTTTTATTAGTGAAGCACCATGAGGTACAGTTGTAGATTTACAAATCTTTGTGCCTGAGTTTCGGTCATACAATGATCAAATACCCATCCCTCCACCAGTGCCCATTTCCCCCCACCCCCCCTCCCACCCTGCCTCTGTGGCAGGGCATTCCCCTTTGTTCTCTCTCTCCTTTTGGGTGTTGTGGTCTGCAAAAGAGGCATTGAGTGGCAATCATGTTCAGTCCATAGTCTACTTTCAACATGCATTTCCCCTCCTGGGAGGATCCTCCAAACACCTTTCATTTGGTGTTCCCTTCTCTATCTGAACTGCCCTTTCCCCTAGAATATCCATCTGGCCTCTAAGTTATGGAGTAATCCTCCTGGTGTTGATCTCAGCTATTCTTAGGTATTGATCTCATATTTTGTTGCTTTATATCCCCCAGATGAATGCAATTTTTCTATGTCTATCCCTATCTTTCTGACTCATTTCGCTTAGCATGATACTTTCCATATTGAACCACTTGTATGTAAATTTCATGACTTCATCTTTTCTAAGAGCTACATAGTACTCCATTGTGTAGATGTACCAGAGTTTCTCCTACTAGCTTATTATTAAAATCCAGAAGAGAGATATGAACCCTTACAGACAAAC